TTATAATACTTTAGAGGCTTGTACACGTGACAACCAGATTTTGGGGGTATATTTGAGTTTATTATAAAAATTTCCGCATTTTATTGTAATGGTTGAGTTTTAGGCTGACTTGTCTTGGTGGGTTAAGACGAGTGCCATCACGTCTATTTTCAGGTCGTGACATTTTGGTCACTCCACAGATAATAAAGAACTTATTAACTTTTTAAATATTTTTTTCACTTTCTTACATTACATACTTTCTTTATTTCAAAATAAAGTTTTTATTTTTATTTTTTATTTTGTTTCCAATCGTGTTTTACATAATTATGAAGACTTCAATGATGTTTTTTTTTCAATCTTACCCTTATTCAATCAAAAGAAATTTATATAACTAAAAAATTGGGTCAAAGAACTATATTTTTTTCAAGATATATATTAAAGTTTATTAAGTAAAAGTATCTTACTTTATAGCCCCGCCCCAAACTAAAAAAGAAATTGACATACTACAAGAAGGTGAATATCATGGAACTGAAGAGTACATAACAAAATAAAATTGAATTACACTTTTTATGTTTTTTTTTAAAAAGCTTTTCATTAAATGAAAATCCAGCAAATTGAAGTAAAAATATGGTTTAGTGTAGTTTTTGTAGTAGTTAATACTCTTCTTCAATGTTTGTTATTTAACTTGAAATAAGAAATGTATAGGTGCCTCTTTTGCTCTTTAACTTATGTTTTAGTAGTTATGCGAGAAAGACTTTAAGAAAAATTAAGGAAAACACTATTTCAAATATGAAATAAAAATAAATGAGCTTATATAAACAAAATTGAGGAATCTTTAAAGAAAAAATATAAATAGTTCTCTATGCAATAGTTTTTTTTTAACCTTTGTTAATAGTTAATATTATTACACACAAAGTTACAACAACTAATTTGCATCTAAGCAAAAATACGCAATAATAAAAAAGTTATAAGAATTCAAACTAAAGAAGTTACATGGAGAATAAAGACACACACATCTTCCTTGAAACCTTATCATAAGACAATATATAAAAATAAGAATACAAAATCAATGCCCACTTTTTTGACCTCTTGTCTGACACCCTCTTTGACAAACTAATCAACATTCAAGAGTCGTTTTCATCGTGTCAAGTTAAAGCATGAATTTGATAATATAATAATACTACAAAGAACAATGAAATATAAAGAATAATCTTGAGTTGAAATTTCATGAAACAAAATACTTGTGAATTTATTTTGTCATTAAAAATAGAGAGATATCATAAAATATCTTAAATTTTATAATTTAATAGTTGGAGGTTGTAAATATGGAAACTTTAAAGTCATAGAATTAATGATATTATAAAAAAATGAACTTTAATAGATTTACGTTATGGAGGTTAAACTTAAAAATTAAAAGATAAATGAAAAAACACAAATAAAGTAGATAAAAGAAATGCATTTATATTACACAAAGATATAATTTTTTTGAATTGGATAAATAAAAAGAAAAGTAAAAAAAGAGCAAAGAAAGGAAAAAACTATAAAATAAATAACTAAAAATCATAAAATTTAACTATCGTGAATAGTTTGTTGGAATTCTTTTTAAGATCAAATGGAAAAAATTGTAATAATTGATGAGAATTTGAGAAATATTATAGGAAAAGAGAATAATCGCTTTAATGATAAAATAAATTAAATATGGTTATTGATAAATAAATATGATTAGTTTTAATGATCTTTTATTTTTTAGGTGAATTTTTTGGTATTTTAAAATTAGAAAAAAGGCCAAGAAAAGATAAATTGGATTGAAACTCTTAGAGAGGGTCATGTCACCGTTTGTATATTCAACTTTATTATTATATATAGATTTGTAATAAATTAAATATTTCACTTTTACAGTAAAATAATTAGTTTAAATAAAAGAAAAAAATATAAATATAAATACAAATAAAGGTCATAGAGAAATGTCACATATTATACAAAAAAATACAAGGAAATCATACCTTTGAATTTTAATTCTGGATACATATCATGAAAAATATCCTGGATACACATTTAGAAAATATATTTTTCATGTAATTAAATACACATATTTATGCAATTTAAATATGGAACACCTCCATCTTACCTTTTTCTATAGTGTCATCTATTTTTTTAGGTCACCATTTTTATATTCAACTTTATTATTATATATGGATATGTAATAAATTAAATATTTCACTTTTACAGTAAAATAAATAGTTTAAATAAAAGAAGAAATATAAATACAAACAAAAATCATAGAGAAATGTCACATATTATGCGAGAAAAGATAAAGAAATCATACCTTTTAATTCTGGATACATATCATAAAAAATATTCTGGATACATATTTAGAAAATATATTTTTTATGTAATTAAATACACATATTTATGCAATTTAAATATGGAACATCTCCATCGTACCTTTTTCTATAGCATCATCTTTTTTTTTTTTTTGAAAGGTTGTCCAAATTCAAAATCGTAAATCTCTACTCATAGAACCTGAAAAAATAATAATTTATGTTAGCATAATTTTATAAAATCTTTACATTACAAATAAAAATATAAACAAATGAAGGATGAAGAATAATTATTTTAAAAGCCATGTGAAAGGAGTTACAGAAGAAAAAATAATATTAAAATGAGTAAGGAAAATGACTAAAAGAAGGGAGAGGAGGAAAGTAAAACAAAAATAAAGTAAAATGAAGCTTTCAGTGGTACAATTTTTATGGGCTTGAAATAGCATTAAAGTATAATTAAAGGTAAGAAATTAATTAGAAATTGACTTTTAATATGGCCACGTTTATAGACGTTTTAAAATGGCAATATCATTTATCTTGTGTATTTTTATTTTTTTTGCATTCTTTGTAATAAAAATGAAGAAAAAATGCTAAGAAAATCAATAAAATCTGAGAAAATATATAAATTTATTTCCTGATCAATGAGGCATTCCACATCAGCGGACTTATGTTCCTCCTTTATATATATATATATATATATATATAGATAGATTTGATTTTAAAGACTCAAATATGACATCGAACTTTGAAAAAAATTTATGCAATATGTTAAAAATTTGACTTACCTATACAATAATGTTTGAGAAAAGGCTTATCCACGTCATTATTTGTTAACTAAAACTAGTATCAATTTTGCAAAATCACTTTTTACACTTGGTCCATTATGATTCAGTCACGTCATTAAAAATGTTTAAACATGTTATCGAAAATAACTTAGATGGAGAATTCATATTTGAGCCTTTTTCCAATAAAAAATAATTATAACCACATAAATAACTTATTTTACATGATAAGTTTTTAAAATATTTTTTATTTTAGTAAAACTTCACTTTACCACGTCAAAATACATCATATAAATTGAAACGGAGAAAGAGAGTGAGACAAAGGGAGTAGTTGATTGACTATGCGAGAAATCGAAGGGAGTAGTTGATTGACTATACGAGAAATCGAACCTGCAACGCCTTGCTAATGAAGATGCAGAAAGTCAAGGATTAGACCAGTGCACCACATCAACTTTTGTGATTAAGAATGCACAAGTAAATATATTATATGTATTAGGGTATATACATGTATATTATATACATATTTTTTTCGAAATTAACGAGGACATGTACACCCCTTTCATCTAAGGTGGGTCCGCCTCTGCCTATTTAGTAGTAGCCTCTTCACTCTTCTTCCTTCACCCCAACAAAGAAAGAAAAATAAAATAAAAGAGATCCAATATGGCTGCCCTTTCAAAAGTAGTTGCAACTATTCTCCTTATGTTGATGCTGATTTTTTCTACCGGTAATTAATTTCTTTTCCTTCCTATTTGATTTTTCATATATGACGTTGATAAGTTTCAAAAGTTTTATAGATGTATAAAGTCTATACATATAAAATTAAAAGCTTCAAAAGTCTTAATTTTTTTTTTTTTTTATGATATGATTCAAAATTAAGAGTACTACACTTATAAGGACCAATATGGTTTACCGATTATTAACTATTACATAGTATGTTTACTTAAGAGACTGATTTAAGATGAATTCTACGAGTTTAACTGAATTTATTGTTTTCATTTTGAACTATACATATTTTTTTAAAAAAAGTCAAAATATTAAACATATAGTAAGATCATACACATTTTAAAACTAGCAGTTGATATCGGAGTAGCACCTCTAAAACTTTGAATACTCAATTATATATGATCTTCTCAAAATTATAGTAGAGATAAAGAAACACTAGGTGATATTTCTATATGTTGTAGTCTTAGTCGAAAGAGTTATTTAATATTTATTTCTGGTGGATTGTGATAGATATTCCTTTAGTTGATGTATGTACAAAGTTATCCAGCTTTCATTTAATATAATGATCTTCTCGACAAGCTTTTCTGAAGCATGTAGAATATTTTTTTAATAATAAATTCAAAGTGAGACTTGAACTAACGACTCTAACTATTTTGATAGAACCATTTTAAATTGAATTATCATCTCATTTAAATATTTAAATTATTAAAATAAACATAGACATATTTACTCAATTATATATTCTTCACTCTAAACAATACTAATATGACTCTAGATTCTAAATTTATCTGTAAAGTTAAATAATATACATGGATGGTAGTGGAGGCGAAGACTTGTGAGTCGCCGAGCCGCCGATTCAAGGGGTTATGCTTCAATACGTGGAAGTGTCGTTTCGTTTGCAGTACAGAGCGATTTAGCAGTGGCCATTGCAATGGACTCCGTCACCGTTGCATCTGCACCAAACAGTGTTAATTAATTAAGCTTTTTTATTGGAGTTATTATTAATTATAAGTGTTTTGCTATGTTATATGGATTATTATCATGAAATAAATAAAATTAATTATCGACCATTTGAACTTCAAGAAATAGAATTGTTCTTTTTTTTTGGGGAGTTAATGGTTGCTATGATTAATGTTGTTGTCAACTTTTGATTGCAATTTTTTTTTTGTTCGAACGGTTGTTATCTGTTGTAATATATTATATTGTATTTGTTTGGATTAAATTTAAATTTTATTGTATTATATTATGTTACGTAAAAGCGTAAAATTTCATCTTATGTGAATATTGTCCCGATGAAAGAAATGGCTCTAGACCTTCAACTTTTTATGGTCTCATTTTAAATTAATATTCCCTCCGCTTATTGTATATGAAATAATTTCACTTTATATGGAGTTGGAGTTTTAAGAAAGAAAATTATAGTTAAATTTTGCGACTTAAAGTAAATTATCGATTATTGTGTGATAGGGCTGACAAAATGAATAAAAAAAAAAAAGTGTATTCATTCATTTTTACCCATTTAAAATGAGTCAAATATGAGTCCAACTCATATTACCCATTTAAAATATGGGTAAAATGGGTAAAGACTATTCACTGTAAAAGAAAAAATATGGTAGAAATTTGAATCTCACGCAAACAAAATTGCCTCAGTTTTTCATCATCTTCCATCAACCAAAGTTGTCTAAACTTCGGCTCTCCTTCGTCTTTACTTCTGTCTTCGTATCTCTTTTCTCCTTTTCTATTTTTGTTGTTGTTGTTGTTGCTGTGGTGCTCTGCTTTGCTGATTTGATGGTAGACTTTCTATCTGTTTCTTTTAGTTCAACTTTTAGATCTATTTTTCAAGGTTGATGCATGTCTAAATATAGATTCTAGTCATGGGTAAAATTGTTAGAAACTTGTCATGTAGTAACACACAAGAGACTACATTGATGCAAACAATTGAGTAGGAAACAAAACAATGTATCTCTTTTTTCCAATAACAATTTTGGTGGATTAGGCAGACTTAATTGTCATTTGACAAAAGTGTTCCAGAATTTTGTTATCTTCATTATCCAAATTGATCATTAAATGCTTTATGACTTGGTCATTTTGGAGCTCATTGAGCATGCGAGAAACAATTTGACTCATGGGTATTATTCATTGGATAATTAATTTTTATTCATTTAAAATATGAATCGAGTTAAGTATTTTATTTAACTCGTCACTTATAATGGGCCAAATTTAATTGACCCAAATCAATTGGCACAGTAAAACTAAAATCCCTAATGTAAAATTCCCCAAATCACGATTCACGTCTCACGACCACACTCCACAGTGGACGTCGACCAAGTATCACGGTTGCAGACTTGCAGCTCGCCTCTCGTCGACAGTTTTCGACTGTTCAGTCTCTCATCAGTCATCTTTGTCAAGGTGCGATGTTTGAGTTATTTCTTCTTTGTGTGTTGTCTGTGTTAACAAAGAACAATCATGGTTGATATCTGGTTTCAGGACCTTTTCTCTTCAACTATAGTGGAAATGTTGTGGGTTGACAAGTACCGCCCTAAAACATTAGACAAAGTTACTGTACACCAGGATGTTGCTCAAAATCTTCGTAAACTGGTAAAATATCTCTCCCACACTTTGTCAATTCTTTCATACTCAAACTCATCACCCTTATTACTATTAGGTCTCAGAGGGAGATTGTCCTCATCTTCTCTTTTACGGCCCTTCCGGTTCAGGAAAAAAAACTCTCATTATGGCACTTCTTAGACAGATTTTTGGTCCAAGTGCTGACAAGGTAACTCTTTAATTCATTTTTTTTCTCTCTCTCCCTCTCTCTCTAAAAATTTGAAATTTATTGCAGGTTAAGGTTGAGAACAAGATTTGGAAAGTTGATGTAAGCTTTTTCTTGAATTTCTTTTTCTTTTGGAATGCAAGTATGTCAATGTGAATTTTTTGTATATCTGCATTCTTATTAGTTGCATACATATTGACATCAATTGATTCCGTTTTTCTTTCTCCAATATATAAGAGAAATATTGTAACTTTAATTACCCTTTTTAAAAGTAAAATGCATAAAAACAGTGGAAGATGCTTAACATTCAAGTAACACATACACACTCATATTCAAAGAAAAAGCGACAAAGAATAGTTCTAGTTTGTTCCTTCTAAACTTTTGGTGCACAACATATGTACCTACTCTTATAGATAGTTGGTTAGATTTTTGGTGATTTGATTTATAGCACTGTACTTCTCTTGTAAAGCTATCATCTTCTTCATGTAGCATTAATATAAATAACTTGGATTTATTAAAACAAAGAAAAAAAGGGTCAATAGCTTGGATATAAAATCTTCTTCATACCTTCATATTTTTTGTAGCAACAATTCATGATTGTTATTGGTGTCAGCTTCAGTGACGATCATGTAATAGTAGAAAATCAATATTAATGTGTATTTGCTTTAAGAATAAAATACATAACTTATCCTCAAACATAGAGAGAGCATGCGTACTCGCAACACAATATGCAAGGACGTAGAGTTAATATATTTTTTTTGTTGCAAAAATGTGGAGCAATTGATAAAGATCTGGTTTTGGTCAAAGTGATAACAACTGGTGACTTCTATGATTAAGGATTAATTGCAATTGGAATCCATCTCTTCTTTTCTTTGTTCTTTATATTGTTTATTGAACTTTATTTTATTGAGAGTATGCTATCATGTACCACAGAGTACATTAAAAGTTCTTACAGGTTGTGTAGAGAACTAATTAAGTAAATCATGGGCTCAACATTGTGAGTATCCATGTACATTTGCCATGTTGCTCCAAAAAGAAAGAAAGGAAATACAATGAGACTGAAGACTTACATTCTCCTTTTTTTCTTAAAAAAATTCTTGTGTTTCTCTTTCTCCAGTTTTAATTTAGTCACGTGTGTATATATATTTTCTCACTGTTTGTCAGCAACATATTGTGTGAATTTCAGTATTAAAGAATAGAAAGTTTAGGCAATATGTAAACAGACAATTTTCATTAACTTTTAAGTTCAAATGAAATTGTGCTAGTTAAAATGACCTGGACTGAAGTGTTAAAAACATGAGAACCCCTCTGATTCCTCATATGCTCTTCCCATGTCTATCACAAAATAAAACAGAACCTTTTATCAGTTTCAGCACTACTCTAATTCAGTTGATGTCTGGAACTGAGTAATTAAAGTACTTATTCATAAAACTATTTTAGTAAATTATTTACTAATTAACAATATCTAATTATCTTTTGCATTTGAGAGGCTTTTCTGCCAGTATACCTCTAATCTATCTGTCAAAACTGCAAGAAATTTGATATTTAAGAGTTTGGGGAAATGTGATCTCTGAGGGACATTTGGCTAAAGGAAAAAAGCAAGGAGTGTTTTCTTGCATTGATCTCTCTTTATGGGTTTTCTTCTCAGGCTGGTTCTCGGACAATTGATGTGGAGCTCACAACATTGTCAAGCACTCACCATGTGGAATTAAATCCAAGTGATGCCGGATTTCAGGACAGATACGTTGTTCAAGAGATAATCAAAGAAATGGCCAAGAATAGACCAATTGACACGAAAGGGAAAAAGGGGTTTAAAGGTGACTCAACAACTTAGTCTAGTTTCTACTTATTAAAAAGAGTCTTAACAACTTTGACTGATTAAATATATAAAAAGCAACTCTTTCTAGCAAAACTTGATCCATCTCCTTGACTCGTCCCCCAAACCCATCATCAAGATTATTTGATGAAGGAAATCCCAACTCACATGATCGTAAGCTTTCTCAAGATCCAACTTACATCAAGTACATGAGTCATCTTTCGTCTTTCTAAATTAGCCACTTCATTTGCCACCAAAGCTGCATCCAGAATTTGTCTTTCTTCCACAAAAGCATTCTGACAAGTAGACACTGTCTTATCCCAAATCTTTTTATTAGTCTATATGAAAGCACGTTAGAAATAATCTTGTAAATGCTTCCTATCAGACTAATATGTCTAAAATCCTTTATATTCATTGCTCCTTCCTTCTTGGGCACAGTGGTCATGAAAGATGCATTAAGACTTCTCCCCAACTCCTAGTATCTTGGAATTCTGCAATGATCTCCATCAACTCACTTCTAACTACCCCCAATACTGTTGGAAATAAGCTAGAGTGAATCCATCACTTGCCACCGCTTCCCGCACTTCTTCTTCATCTATACCCCTTTCCAGCCGCTCCCTCATCCCCTTCCTTAATTGACTAAATACTACAATGGCTCCCTTCACTTCCTCTTCGTCCTTCTCATACACCTCTCCATTCACATCTAGAGATTCAATTAAGTTCCTCATCCTATTTGCTATGACAACCCTATGAAATAAGTTTGTATTAGAATTCCCATCTTTCAGCCACAATATCCTCGATATTTGACTCCAACTAGTCTCTTAAGCAACCGCTAAAGCAGCAAGCTACCTTTTCGCCATCTCCTTCCACATTCTTTATTGTCCACCTCATTTTCTAATTCCCTCATTTTAACTGCCACAATCCCAAACATCTCCTTGCTCCACTTCCTCATATTTCTTTTTAACATTTTCAACTTGCTAGCAAGTCGGAAAGATGGTGTACCAACAACTTCATACCCATTCCACCAAGTATCTTCCTTACCTTTTTGAATAGATCAACACTCCAAAGATGGAACGGAGGGCCCACCAGATTTACTGTCATAGTGTTGCCGAAGAATCTTGTGTCAACACACCCATCTTGCTCTATCCACCTTTCCAACAGAAGTTGCTAGCTAACCATCTCCTTCCTCCCGGAAGTGTCTTCACTGCCTGCTCCTCATTAGCAGAGCGAAATAAGGTTTTGGTGTCTCTCAGCTGCATAATTTTCAACCCATCTGCTACTTCCCATTCATTAACAACGCAATTGCTGATTGCCTCGTAAGTGCACCCATTTCATAATGGAACCAACCAGGCAAGTTCTTGAATTTTTTTTCCTTCTTAAGACATATTCTGTAGAAAGAGAGAAACAGGGTTCTCTCGTTGATTTGTTCTGTTGGCATCTTCCCTGAGGTCTAACAATACCCGCGATAGAGCTTAGTGGAAGGACATGACCTCCTTCTTCTCTAGAGACTTTGATCATAGTACTATTTGTTGTAGTTACTCACTTACACCTTTTTTCAGACTTCTTTGTCGTGCTTTCTATGGTATTTTGCCATGGCTTCTTCTTCACTTCTGTCATTTATTTTTCGAACTGCTTTGAGTTTCTTTTCCTTGAGCCAAGGGTCTATCGGAAACAACCTGACTACATCCCAAGGTAGGGGTATCTGCTGCATACATTCTACCCTTCCTAGGCTCCACTTGTGGGGTTACACTAGGTATGTTTTGTATGAATAAATGAAAAACAACAAAATCCGTCATCTGTCTTTTGATAAGGAAAATAATATGATCTGTTATAGATAATTTATAAAAAAGAAGCATTTCATGTGATATATCATGCCAAAGGTTAATAGGACTAGAAGATTGATATTCTATAGTGATTTCTCTATGTTAAGCTGAGGAATTCAAAATAGATATTGAAATGCCTTATCAACTTTGAGATATTATTTCGGAATTTCAATTATTTGCCACCAGCATTGTGTAAATATCTTCTATTATTTGTAATTTGTTCATTAGTAGCTGTAAAAGCTACCTAGCTGATATCATGTTGGTAAATATTAGTTTTAGTGCTAAATGAAGTTGACAAGCTCTCAAGAGAAGCACAACATTCTCTTCGAAGAACAATGGAGAAGTACAGTGCATCATGTCGCCTGATTCTTTGCTCCAACAGTTCTTCAAAGGTCACTGAAGCAGTTCGCTCACGATGCCTTAATGTGCGAATAAATGCACCAATGGAGGAAGAGGTCAGTGAAATTCAGTTGTCCTACTGTTGATATATTTTCTTTCACCATCTTTCTGGTTTGTCCCACTGGTTATATTACAACATTGTCTTCTTTTCTTTTCTTTTTCTGGTGTTCATACTACAAGATCAAGAGTAGAAGTGTATGTGCTGTTTAACAATTGCCTGCATCTTCTGGGTTCAGGCTTGCATTAGACTAGTGTGTTTATCTGGTCTTTCCTCTAGGGTTTATTTCATGTGAGAATTTCCCTGTAATGACATTCATTCTCACCAAAAAAGGTGCTATGTAAAGTTAACTGGTGTGCTTGCTTAGACATGGTGGATTGGAAATGCCATTTCAACTGCTTTGGCTATTCGTTTACCACAGGAAAAGGCACTTTTTGAGCAAAGTGTGCTATACATCCTTGAACGTAGTTTGAGCAGTCTTTGGTCTTACATACCAATTTGTGCCTTAGAAACAAGATAGAGACTCATCTAGTGAATAGAGTAACTAGAACAACTAAATGTTGGAGATATACTTAAATAATAAAAGTGTGGTCTTTTTAATTGCTTAAGCTTTTAGATTAGATGACACAAACTTCAACATTTATTAGAGCACGCACAGGTCCTGGGTCAGTCTCACCATCACCCATTATTAAAAGTAATATCCACGTGCTTGGCTCATGAAAAAAGAATCAAGTCTGCAGTCTGCACATGAGAGGGTGTGGTATAGATGTAACACTAAATAAATAATAGTGTGACTTCTCTAACAGCTTAAACTTTTAGATGAGATCATCACACAGTTCAGCACTAACATTTGAACACATTTCACAGTACGAGAGCAGTAGTTATTTGTTGAATTGTCACATGATTTTGTTTAAATTTTCTTTGCAATTAATTTTTTTTGGTTATACTTGGATTAAATATAAGAACATTTGTTGTAATTTAATTAATTTTCAAAAAAAGTAAAAAAAATATAAGAACATTTGCTTAAGTATGTATTGATCTTATTTTAGTTTATTTTTGATTAATTACGGATATGCTAATTTGAGTTATTCCACTGACATGTTCTAGTTGTCCAGGAATTTTAACTTTAGAAAATACGTCAACTGAAGGACCATAAAGCATGTTTTTTTTCCAGTGACATTTTCCCCCCATAATTGAGAAATCCCTGAAGGGCAGTGGGCCTTGTTTGAAGCTCATTGAATAATTGATCCGCCTTACCTTTCTCCACTTAAATACCATGACTTTTTCCGCAGCAGGGTTCAAACCCTTGCACCTAATCTACACATCACGTGCTGCACTCTTACTAGACTAAAGCCTGGTTGCTTTAGGACCTGCGATTCTACTTGACCTAATGCTTCATTGACTTTGGTGTGGGACCATCAGGAAGTTTTTGATTCTTGTAAGCCGTAAGAATTTTTCTGAATCAAAGTATATAGATGGCCTAGTCAGTCATGTAGCAAAGAATTGTTGACATGTGGTCCTTTGATTATTCATTGCATTCCTAACTGTTTCTTGTTAATCTTTTTTGTTTGACAGATTGTTAGTGTTTTGGAATTTATTGCCAAAAAGGAAGAACTTCAATTTCCACAGGGTTTTGCAGCCCGCATTGTGGAAAAGTCAAATAGGAATCTGAGGAGGGCAGTTTTGACATTTGAGTCTTGCCGTGTTCAACAGTTGAGCCCTTTAACTGCTGGATACTGATTTATTTTAGTTTCTTGCTAGTTTAAGCTGTTAATTCCTGAGTTTATGGTATATTATTTGCACCAAAGTTTTCTTATGCACGTGCTGATCCCTTGTTTATTTGTGCAAGGTATCCCTTTACAAACAACCAAACTATACCTCCGATGGACTGGGAGCAATATGTTTCAGAAATTGCATCAGACATAATGAAAGAGCAGAGCCCTAAAAGGTACTGTTGACAGTCAATATGAATAGGGTATTTAATATTCAGCTCGTGATTCTATAAACTGTTCTTTGAATATCTAGTTCTGTCACTAGAGGTCGACACGGAATTCAAGACAACTGGAGATTCAACTTTGAGAGAAGGGAACTTTAAAGTTAAGACGACACTAGGCTTTTGAGTGCTGAGAGAGGAGTATGTTATAAAGACTGAGAGAGAAACCTATAAGACTTCACATGATAACCTTCGGTGGCCCAGTGGTTTGGGCTTGGGACTCCCATGTTGGAGGTCTGAAGTTCGATACCCCTTGCCAGCGAAAGCAAGGGGTTTGCCTTCTGGGTTGAGCTCGTCTCACCGGGATTGCCTAGTGCGGGTTACCTCTCCTGTGTGGTTTGTGAGCTATTGTATAGGAGTGGAGGTTTTACCCTGTGCGCACCTATGTTGCGCGGACTCTTCATATTTGCAAGCGAACCCGTCTCGACGCGACACTGGTGCGGGCGCGGGTGCGGGGTGCGTGTCGGATTCGGTCAATCCAATCCGGACACTTTGACCGGAGCCGAGAAAAGATTTGGGGAAGAAAAAATCAGTTATCGGCGACCTAAAGAGGACAAAGCTTGAAAAAGTACAGAGAAGAGAAGAAAGAAGAGTTTTTTCTTGAAAAAGTACAAGGAACAGTCCTTTTTTTATCTTTCTTGAAAAAGTACAGGGTCTTTTCAATTTTTCTTGAAAAAGAACTCCAAGAGGCAGAAACGAAGGGTTTCTCAAAATAAGTGTACTTTTTAATTATATTTTTCATGTTTATTATATTCTCTCTCTTCTTTAACAATTATACTTCTTTTATTTTGTATGTAATTGTACCAAAATATGCAATTAATCATTATATATATTTTATAAATAGTTTTAATAATATTTTATGCAGTTATTTAGACTTAGTATGTATGGTATAATTCAATTTTTTTATATATATATTTATATATCCCACTTATTTGATTATACTAGATATATTGTTATTGAAATATATCTATATAACTATAGTTTTATAATATTGAAAATTTTTAGCCGTATCCCCGCACCCGTATCCACACTCGAATTCGCACCCACGAATCTTAAAATTTGAATTTTGCCGAATCCAACTCTCGGATTCGCATCCGTCTCGGATACCCGCACCCGAGTCCGAGCAACTTAGGTGCGCACACAAAGGGTAGTGGCTGCGGGTTTCCCTTGTCATAAAAAAAAGCAAGCAAAGCAAAATTAAATTTCAAGTAATGTAATAAATGACTAGAAATGGGGAAGTTAGTGACTAGAAATAGGAAATTAGAAATTAGTTTTAGAAAACTAGTTGCTTCTATGATTTAGAATCTTAATTTGCATCTAATATAAAAAGGTTTTCAAACTTGATTGATAGGGCCTTTACTTCATTTATTTAACTTATTGTAGTTCTTTTTACCATAATCCATACATACTTATAGTTAGTTTTCTTACATTACACATGTTAATTTATGTTTTCTTCCTACATTTGTGCCTTTCTTCACTACAGCATGCTGTAATTGCGCTTTGGGCTTAAGCCCTGGCGACACTCCTTTGCGTATAAGTAGAAAAGAAGCTGTAAGAAGTCAAAAGGGGGCATATTGAAATTTATCCTTGTCATGGAATTTGTTGATTGCTTTCTTCTGTTAAAGTGAGTAGTTATATGTTGTCTCAGTTTCTGAAGTAGTTTCCAAATTGAGGATCTGAATGTCTTATTTGACTAATAAATCAGTAATGTAAACCACAGACATTTCAGTGAGCGAGTCGCATATCGATAAGCAATTTGTATCCAAACTTCTAAAAAGTTGTCCAGGATTTTTTTAAAAAAACTAGCTCACTGAAACAAAAGAAAATTAAAAAAAAAGAAGCAAAAAGAATGAATATTTGCTGCAATCGATTTACAGAAGTCTCCATCTCCAAGATCTTTAAAGATCCTTAAAATTCTTTAAGTCCTTTTCATTACCTTGGATACACCAAACAAACGCTTACTTTATGAACAATGGTTGATACTCCCTTAAAGCATTTCCTTTTTTGTTCATTCCGATGCAACCAATAATGCATAGTGTTGCATCACAAATTTCCTCACCTATTTCCCATAAAATGTCAAAAGACGGAACTGCACGCTCTTTAATAAACAGAGCCAGAAGAAACGTTCAGTTGAAAGGCAAAATCCAAATATTCAAGCACAAGAATCACTAGAACGATATATTGGTGTAGTTCAGAGTATATAGATGGTCCTGTGGCTATTGTAGATATCCCAGGATCCTTATAAGATGATGGAGGATCTAGTGATAGTTTTGGCTTTTTCTTTATGTTTTTGTTTGATAGGCACACTCTTGTGGATATAGGATATGCTGTAAATATTTGCTTACCAGCTCTGAGCTGATGATTGATATACAAAACGTTACCTTTATAAAAAAAAATAAAAAAAATCACTAGAACGATATTAGTTTTTTGCAGTGTCTGGAGTTTTAACCTTTCTTTGTAAAGCTTTATGTATCTTCTTGATGCTTTTCAACACAACAACTTACTTCATAAAAAAAGAACAATATTCTACCCTCACTGTAAGTTGAAAAGTGGAAAACTGTATGTGTTTTTGAGCTTACGTTGTTTTTCACATCATTTAAGATATTCAACTATTAATCATGCAAAGAAATCATCATCTTTCATACGAAGTTAGGAAGGAGCAGTGTTGTAAAAAGCGCAGAAAAGCGCGCTTAAAGCGAGAAGCGAGGCGAGGCGAGGCGAGGCCCCTGCGCTTTTATTTCGTGAAGCGAGGCGACATTGAAAAAGCGCTCGCTTCTACTGTAGAAGCGAGAAGCGCAAGAAAAGCAAAAGCGTAAAAAAAGCGCGCTTAATTTGAAAAAGCGCTAATTAGGGTTTCTTTTTTTAAAATTGTAAGTTTTTTTTTTTTTTTATAATTTCTGAAATCCTTATGCGACTTAATATACCTCTTTCGCGACTTCAAAATTCTTTTTTGGACTGCTGCAAGACTAAGAAGCTGCGACTGCTCTTCTTTTTTTTTCTATTTTTGGTTGCTGCCAGGTTGCCACTGTTGTAAGTTCTCCTCTTCTTCTTCTTCTGTTCTTCTCTGCGAGGCTGCTGCGACTGATCTGCTACTGTTTTTGTTTTTTTTTGGTTGCTGCTGGGTGTTTTCTATATTTT